CCGAGGCATTACATAACAGTGAGGTGACGTCGACGCAATAGGGAATAAGGAAGTGGTTCTCAGCTGTGTTCACTAGATAAGAACTACTTTAACACACGTACACTGACATTTACCGAACTAACCTAAAAATATTTCACTCAAGTGGGTCCACAGTCATTTCATATATCAGGAAACAGCTGAACTCACCAGCCGAGGAAGACTTGATGAAGATGGCGAACACCAAAATCAACCAGAGCCAAACGGAAGACGTCGCACCAGACATCTCAGCTGTTCTAAAAACTGAACAGAAAAAAAAAGAAGAGATCAAACCTAAAACATAAAATGATCCGTTTTCGTGTGTTTCCATTCACTTTACTGTCTTTTTAAAAGAATCATCTAGAAAAACGTCACACAACAGGTGTCACGTTGACATAAGGTGTAAAAACGCCACAAGTGACACAGAGGTTTTCATCATATGTTAAAGTCAAATTAAAACTGTCAGTAAACCAAGAACAAACCTTTCATCCAATCCATAAATGCCACAATGACTGAACGAAGTGTTCCTAGTGTTCCGAAGTGTTCCTTAGTTTCTATTCGCTCACACTAAGGCGTGCTCGTGATTTTCTTGTAGGCAGGACCTACCGCTGTCCTCAGGTAGCGATCCCGTAGCCTCCAGAATGTTCTGGAATCTTCCAGGTGAACCAGCAGCCGCAACTAGGCAGACAAACTGACTTTTATCTTTTGTTTAATAATTGTACTATAAACTAAACATGTTTCCACTAGTTAGCAGCCTATAATCAATTACTACTTAAAAATGTATAAATTAAAACTGTAAAACAAACAGAAAGTAAACAAAGCTCAATAAATGATTACCAAAGTAAAACAGGAAATCACAGCTGAGGGAACAGATAATCAGAGTATTTTATTGTTCCCCAGGGGAAATGATGTAAACAGCTATATCCAGAAAATGAAAAGAAGAGTAATTATGCAAAAGCATGAATTTTTGCATAAGTATTTCCTAATTTGGTCAAATTTGCCTGATGATGGACATATTCATTGAAACTTTAGGGATCTAAATACTGGGAACCAAGTGCTTTAAACAAGTTCTGTGTTTTTATAAGATAAGACTTTATTGACCCCACAGCAGGAAAATTTGTGCATTACCTCAGCTCAGGTACAGATATCAGAAGAAAATAGAAATAAAATACAAACAAATACAAAATATTAAGATAATACAGTATATGAAACGATAGCATAAATAGTATGAGATTCCACAGACAGAAGTTTGTGGAAACGCAAGAAATAAATTTAACCTTTCTTCTTCCTCTCTTCTTCAACTACTATTATTATGTAAGTAATAGATATTTATAAGTATATACATGTACATGCACACACTAATATACATATGTATACATATACATATACCTGCTCAGGCAACACGTCCATACATATAATAGGTGCATTATGCATGGAGAGGTGACCGTGGATGTCCACAAAGTCCAGTGACTCATAACATCGTGATTGAGGAGTTAAAGAGTCTAACTGCTGTCGAGATGAATGATCTGCAAAAGCGCTCCATCCTGCAGCGAGGGTGTTTCAGTCTCTGACTAAAGGAGCTGCTCAGCACACTCACAGAGGGGGATGTGGGTTATTCATGATGGATGTCAGCTTTACTAACTTCCTCCTCTCACCAACAGCCTCCACAGACAGACAGCTTAGCATGGAGCTAGACCTCTGCACCAGTTTATCAGTTTCGCTCCTGTCCCTGTCGACGCATCCACTCCCACAGCAAGTCACTGGATAGAAAAAGGCAGATGCTACCACAGTGTCACAGAATGTCCTTAACAGAGTCCTGCAGACTCCAAAGGACCTCAGTCTCCTCAGTGGGTAGTGTCGACTCTGCCCCTTCTTATACAGGACGTCTGTATAAGAACTCTTGAGCCACGATGACCCTGCAGATGCCTTTGTGTCAAAGCTGAGGCTAAAACAGAAAAACGATTTTATAAAAATATTTGCAGTAGATCAAAACCGAAAGAAAACCATTAATCAACAAATGAACATTACCTGATGCTGCTGAATTGAAGCAGAGCAAATTACAGAGGTTTTATTAGAGACACACCTTAGCGTTTTGCAATTTTGCATAATGTTAAAAAGTTTAAATTATTTTAGTAGCCTATTGAACGGCAGAAATTAGGTTTTCTTTTCGGAAGTATTTAAAAAGGAAAAAACAGCGGCTGACAGCGCTGTAAACAACCGAGGTCTTATGCATAACTTGTCACGGTTCGCTTGAGGACTCACACGCAGGACTCAGAGGCACAGTCAGTATTTATTACAGTTCCACCAGGTGTATATACAAACAGTGCAGGGGATAGTGCTATATACAAAGCGGTGACAGGGAAAAGGCTCCGGGGAAATCCAGGTAGGGAAAAGACACTTGCTCCTCTTCTGACTCTCTCTCCAAACACTCACACAAAAAGGGAATCCGCTCGGGGAATGCAGGGTCGGGTCCAGGGGATCTATGTACAGAAGGAAACACACGTTAGAGGTTTTGCACAGGGAAGCAAAAGAGAACTTGCTCAGAGCCGGGCTGCACTGACGCGAGTCACACACAACGATCCAGCGATGAGTAGAAGCCACTCCCTGGCTTAAATGCTGGCTGCGCTGATGAGGCCCAGGTGTTTCCTCTTCAGAGGGGCGTGGGCCGAGGGCGTGAACCCACCATGAGTTCCGCCCTGGCGAGAGAAATGCTCAAGTAACTATGTAACACGTACGTAATCCAATTCCACAACACAGTGTGATGGGAAATCAGCTGTGTTTTTCTGCCCATTTTATTTCGAATCTGGCGCGAACCGGTGAACCAGTCCCTGAATCAGTCACGTGGTACGGACTGCCCGCGAGGCCTCGAACGTCACTGCATACGTAATCAAGGCAAGCCTCGATACGCGCTTCACAAAAACGCCCCCGAGATTACCCGACACACGATTCGACGCTTCGACACACAGGACACATCACTACTAGCAACCATGGCCGGAGCCGAAGAGATGAATAAGTATCGCTCACCTCTGGTGTCCAGATACGACAGCAAAGAAATGAGCTACAACTTCAGCGACAAAACATGAACACTTCCTAAGTTTCATTTACTTATTTCAATGTCTCCCTACAAATGTTCCTAGAAGTTTCTTCAAAGAGCTTAACAAAGTCATAACTTCTTTTATATGGCAAAAGAAAAATCCAAGAGTCAAACACTCCTCACTACAGGCCCCATATTCAAGGGGAGGACTTAATTTACCAAACTTTAGGAACTATTATCTTGCCTCCCAGTACCGATCAATTTGGATCTGGCTACATGCAGAGAGGAGTGAGGTTCGATGGGTTCCAATAGAACAACATGAGGTGAACCCCATACCATTAAAAGATGTTCTATTTTTAGGTACAAAAAAATGTCTATCCAAGCTCACAAACAATTTGATAATATTAAACACCTTCTGTGCCTGGCAGGAATCCCACTCACTTCTGAAAATAAATATCTCTTTTCTTAGAAGGACACCCCTATGGGGCAACCCTGATCTCTCTCATCATATTGCCGACCCAATATTGGGGGATGGAAGGACAGAAATATTCGAACTGCTGCTGATTAATACAATAATGACACATTTATTGACTTTCAACAACTAAAGGAAAAATTCAAACTTCCAGGACAAAGTTTCTTCAAATTTCTACAAGTAAGACAGTGGATCAAAGAGAAATCCAAAGGGCTTTTCCCCCCCCCCCGAGATACCAAAAGAAACTCCTCTTGAAACTTGTGCTCATCTGTGGCTCAAGAGTTCTTATACAGACGTCCTGTATAAGAAGGGCCAGAGTCGACTCCACCTGCTGAGGAGACTGAGGTCCTTCGGAGTCTGCAGGACTCTGTTAAGGACATTCTATGACACTGTGGTAGCATCTGCCCTTTTCTATGCAGTGGCCTGCTGGGGGAGTGGATGCACGGACAGGGACAGGAGCAGAATTGATAAACTGGTGCAGAGGTCTAGCTCCATGCTAAGCTGTCTGTCTGTGGAGGCTGTTGGTGAGAGGAGGAAGTTAGTAAAGCTGACATCCATCATGAATAACCCACATCCCCCTCTGTGAGTGTGCTGAGCAGCTCCTTTAGTCAGAGACTGAAACACCCTCGCTGCAGGATGGAGCGCTTTTGCAGATCATTCATCTCGACAGCAGTTAGACTCTTTAACTCCTCAATCACGATGTTATGAGTCACTGGACTTTGTGGACATCCACGGTCACCTCTCCATGCATAATGCACCTATTATATGTATGGACGTGTTGCCTGAGCAGGTATATGTATATGTATACATATGTATATTAGTGTGTGCATGTACATGTATATACTTATAAATATCTATTACTTACATAAATATACTAAAAAAAAAATTTTACAATAACACTACTAACTCCAAGTAGAATGAAAGAAGAGAGAAGAAGAAAAGGATTAATCTATAATCTATGCGACTAATTCCAGCACAACTCACTCTGTACTGTAGGAAAGTCTCGATACTATTTACATATCCATCTTCATATTCACTGTATACTAGTCTTAAATAAATAATCTTGCTCACCCTAATAATGTCTTAGTCATCTTCTATTTCATAAATCATTTCCATTCTAGATATACTGTATGAGCTGAGGTAATGCACAAATTTTCCTGCTGTAGAGACGGTCCAATAAAAAAGATACTCTATTCTTATAAAAAACAACAAAGACTGGGATTATAACAATAGCACTATGACAAGTACCAGCTATATAGAATCACCTAACCAAGATAACAGACCTGCAATAATAAGTACAAAATACATCCACGTACACAAAAATCTCAGACCAAACATAGAGAAAACCAAAAATACTTATAAGCACAAAATTCATAGACTTTGACATAATTACATCTATCTTAATTACATTTTACTGAGACAAAAAATATAGAACATGTCTATACTCATTTCCCTAAGAAGCACGACAACAGCATAAAAATAACTCCCTGAAATAATTGTTCCCTCAGCTGTGATCTCCTGTTTTACTTTGGTAGTCATTTATTGAGCTTTGTTTACTTTCTGTTTTTGTTTTACAGTTTTAATTTATACATTTTTAAGTAGTAATTGATTATAGGCTGCTAACAAGTGGAAACATGTTTAGTTTATAGTACAATTATTAAACAAAAGATAAAAGTCAGTTTGTCTGCCTAGTTGCGGCTGCTGGTTCACCTGGAAGATTCCAGAACATTCTGGAGGCTACGGGATCGCTACCTGAGGACAGCGGTAGGTCCTGCCTACAAGAAAATCACGAGCACGCCTTAGTGTGAGCGAATAGAAACTAAGGAACACTTAGGAACACTTCGTTCAGTCATTGTGGCATTTATGGATTCGATGAAAGGTTTGTTCTTGGTTTACTGACAGTTTTAATTTGACTTTAACATATGATGAAAACCTCTGTGTCACTTGTGGCGTTTTTACACCTTATGTCAACGTGACACAAAAAACAACCAATACCACGTCAAACAGATCCACATGATACTCTGTGTGACAGCTTATTTTCTACACGATCCTTCGTTATTAACAAAAGACAGATACTAAAAGTAGAATGAAGAAAACACACGGACAAACAGGCTACAATTACTATATGTTTTCAACCAGGCGCCTCTCGAATCTCTTACTTTTATAATATTTCTGATAATACCAGTTTTTTTAAGGAACACAAGAACATGAGATATACTAAAGATGCGCACGTCTCCCGTTTGGCTCTAGGATTGACTAAATAATATAGCGTAGAATATCATCCTCCAAACAAGTCTTCCCTAAGAGCTGATGGTTGCGCTAACCTGCATTAATATGAAATGAACTGTGCGACCCACTATGGTAAAATATATTATCTAGGTTAGTTAAAACAAACAAGGAGTGATCTCCAGTCGTACCATACAAAAAGACACTCGTGATCTAAAAGTAGCTTACTTAATACTAGAACACGCTTGAAACAGCTGCAGACAACCACTTCCTTATTACCCTATGCGGTCAGAACCCGTCACCTCCTGTACTATGTACCCTAACCTCGGCACAAAAACTGGCGCTCAGTTATAGAAACCGATGAGAGTTCTTAGAAATTATAATATATCTATTTTACTCAGAGAACAATATTTACTTATAAAAAACATCTTCAACAAACTGATCAAAAGCCAACCACCCCACCCCATGCAGAGGACACTGTGGAAAAGTCGCGCCGTATGTCACCAGGTGCAGAGGAGGCTACCCCCCTACTCCATGCCCCTTACCAGAGACTAGCCCCTCTGCCTCAAAAATAATTAATCACAACACCAACTTTAAAAGACATTCATCAATTATTCCAAAACACTCTCCCAATACACTCACATCACCTAGGATTCTTAGGGCGTCAGGGAACACAATACTCACGCGAGTACAAATATACCCTTCAGCGGTCGATCTACCTCCAACCACCATCGCACAGTCTTGCCCCAACCTCTCTCCAATTTTAAATACACAAAAACTTAGGTCATTGAGGGCTAGCAGGAGGGACTACTGCGCCTTCACCATGCTGCACATCCTTCGCAGCCACAGCGCTCCACGTAACACCCATATCACTACGCCACCTCCCTGCACGACTCTCATCTACCAAATCTTGCACACCTCGACAACTAAATCACCAACACTAACAGCCACTCAAACACAAGATGAGACAGCGGTTGAGAAGAGACGTCTTGGAAAGATCAACTATCTCCCACCCCCAATTCTCTAGCGGCCAGCATAGGTAGGCGGCCCGAATGATGGACTACCAACGTAGGAGCAGTGGAAAAACACGTCCGGCCGTCACCAGAGATCAATGGAGAGAGTGGAGGACTACATAGCTAGCTCGCGAAAAACCGTCCACAACAAAAAACACCACCAGACAGTCGGCACAACAAAACAAGAGTGAGCTCTGACCTATCACCCACCGCCGGGAAGAGAACCAGTAACCACCAACCTGAGGATCCGACCACGGCCCTAACAAATAAAACTCACAACCCACACACTTGCAATACCCACCCCTCCCAGGGCACAAAAGGGAACATCAACCCTAGACCACACGGAAATTTCGCTCACGAAGTAACACCAAAACTCATAGAAGGGAGTTATAGATTGTGTGCACAATACAGCGTCAGTCACCATAATATGTCTATCTCCATGTGGTTGAGTGGAGATCAGAAAAGATGCCACATGAGGCATTGAGGTGGGAATGCGCAGTGTTGAGTTCATACTGGTGTGCCTCGCTAATGTCTCGATGATACTATATGTTCAGGTTGAACCAAAAGAATTATCGCCAACACGCCCCTCTCTCGCGCAAGACCACCTCAGGCGCCTCACAACGGTTTGCCACAGGCCATACTCTCATACCCCCAACCACTTATCCCCATGCCAAAGGTGGCACGAATCCCATCAGTCGCTCGCAAAAAAAACCTTAATAAAAAACAAAAAAAAAAAAAAAAACAAAATCATAAAAAAACACAAACCACACCAAAAAAAAACAACCAAAAAAACATGTCGCTGGTGGTTCTTTGTGTCCTGGGGATGGGCGTCCAGGTACACACCGGCTCACTCCTTGGCGGCCGCTTATCGGGGCCTGGAGCCTGGGGCTCGCTCGGGCCACTTCGGAGGTGGGGTGCCCTCGGCCTCTCGGCCTGGGGCTCGGTCACTCAGGCGCAGCTGGCTGCCGGCGGAGCTCACGGGCGCGTCACTGCAACTCCCCCTGGCTTCTGCTCCGCGGCTGCTGAGTGAGCCCTCATCTGGGACTCTCCTCAGCTCTTTCCGGGACAGTGGCGCGGCTGCCCCTCTGTTGGTCTTCCTTGGTCTCTTGTGTTCTGGGGGCCTCTGGATGTCTGGAGTTTTGATCTCCTCCATACCTGCTTCATACCCTGGAGGACGGGGCTGTGGCCCCCCCACACCCTCTAGCAGATTATTACATGAAGGAACCTTTTAAAAAACAAAAAACAAGCGCGTCCATGCTCACAGGTGTACACACGGGTGGTCACACCCACAAACTACACTTTCTTGGCTGCTGCCTCAAAGCACAT